GTCATGATATGTAAATTAAAATTGTTATTTACGGTGATAATCTTGTTTCTTGTGCCCAGTAATGCATAATTTCATTTGATAAACACGTTTAGATTGAATGGTAATTTATAATCAGTCACAAGAACGTCGAATCTGAATCACTTGAAAAAAACACGGGGGTGCTTAACTTTTTTCCAGGTGTATATTACATATTAAACGTTTACCAGAGGTTCCTGGTTCAAGTCCCAGTTCTGGAGTCTCTTTTCACTTAAAATATTTAATATGCATTAATTGTTTATTATATATCTTGCACTGCACATAAACCTTTTTAAAATACTACTGTAATTCATACATGATGAAACCCGAAGGGCTACATTAAATGTAGACGTTTAATTTTACATAATCTTTTTCAGGTTAGCAATCTATATGATTACCTAATTACTAATTTTTGAAAGAAGCTTGTATCGTTTTTAATTAATATTCTCGTCTTGAATTGTTGACTGTTCAGGTGATTCATGAAATTTGGAGTTTCGATTACAGCATCATGAATCATGAGTCTTTAAAGGGCTGTATAGAGGGCGTTATCTTCAAAATGTTCGACATAGAAGTTATTGCGCACTGATGAGCAAAAATAGACTATCAGGTCAGAAAAGATCATATAATAAAGTGTAATAATACTAAAATAATGGGATATGAACCACACACAACAATGATAAAAGAAGCCTTATAAATTCAACTAACTGATAACACACTCAGTCAACTAGGCGTAGAAACCAGAAAAACCTAGTCCTCTTGAAAACATCCAAATACCGCCTGATAATGGTAGGAAAGTCTAGCGAAATGTAGTGTTTAAGAAAAAAGTGGTTTTGAAACATATCTACTTATCTTATCCATAAATGAACAAATCCATATAGTTTGTCTAACTTGTTGCAAGTTCAGTAGCCTACCCAAGTTTCTTTATGGCAGGAACTTCTAATTAAAGGAAGGGGTCTTGATAGACTTCATCATCCCAGGTCGCAACAAATCGACTAAGCTTTCTACCATGACTCTCCTAGGTCTCTTGACCAAACAACAACCCGAAAGAAACAGGTTTCTCCGATCTTATAAACATTAAACTCGGAAAGAAAGCTATTAAAGGTAAACATTTACGTATGGTAATTAAATTTATTTTAGTATGAATGTTGATTCAAGGCCCAATTCACGCTTTGTCTTAACATTACTTTTCCAAATTATGTATAATGGCTAATAAATGCACTTTAGTCTAATCAACTCCCCTAAGTTATAGCTTTCACATATAATTGATCAAACTTTGTAAGATTGTCAGCCATTTAATAAACAGTCGCAGATTCAAAATCAGAATCCGTTGTTTTCATGAAGTTAAACCACTTAAAACTTGAATGTGTTTAGTAGGTTACTTAATTATCAACTGCTATATTAGTAGTTTTTCTGAGCACAATAGAGTTGACGCAGGAATTGAGCCTGTGACTCTGTTAACTGAGCAGATGCTTTAGTCAACCAACCTAAGGCATATAATGCTACAAATCTCAAATTTCATTTATTGGTTGTTACAAGTGGGAAACAGCAAAATTCCTGACCTATACAATTGGATTTTGAAACTCAGAACTTGTACTACTACATGAGTGGCACCAGCCTTATCCCAGTGAGGGGGCTGAGGTAGGCTAGGCAAAAATATTATGAGGCTCCACTCTACACCTTGTGGGCATATACATACTGTAGTAATTAAGAACTGAACCAGCTTTAAGTGTTATTGCTCATTGGGTATTGGGACTAAGGCACATTTTGAGGTAACTTAAGTCCTAGCAAGTCCCTGCACTACTACATTTATGTCATTTTTCACTCAATTCTATAGGAATTTTTTCTAGTAAAGTACAAACTATATTGCTGCAATCCTAGCTATTTTTAATAGTATTAATATACCATTGAAAAGAGAATTTGCTTTTATAAAGCACTTCTTTACAAGCGTTTGTCATTTCACAGTAACTTCTCGAGAATGAAATAATTATTTCGCTAAACAAATGTTTTGAGTTGAATTAATAATTACTTTTGATTAGATCTGAAACAATAGTTTGACTTTTAATATAAATTATTAAAACCAGGAAATAAATTGTGCAAAACTATCAGCAGTAAAATATTGATCTACAAAATCAAGCAGTTACAGAAGATAATGAAAATGTTTTAAAAAAGGATTAAATAAACACGCACACACACACATCATCATCCTTGTCTTCTAATCACATTTCAGAATGGTTAATTTTATTATAATACACTTATTACATTATAAAAAAAAATGTTCCAGAAAAATACAAGAATTACAAAAAAAAATCATGATACTCAAAGCCTTGCATTTAGTTTTCAACAGAAATATGAAGTATTTGTACAAGCTGATCAGAAAGTAATACATGGCAACTGGACATCGAAATATCACAAAAGCTTTTTAGTTAAGATTTCATAGACCATCCGTCTCCGGAAATAAGGCATGTGAGCCTGCAAACATAAAGTTATCACGTCTATATTAAATAAACCATACAACAGTGAATTTTAATATCAGTTTAGTACATAAAAATATGTCAAGCAAATTAAATTAGAAAACATAACAATTACTCTCATAACTTGAAATATAAGCCGTACAGGTTTGATTTTTAAAAAATTTTAATAGTAAACTCAATTTTTCTCTACATTATTTTTCTATAATCACTTGATACTGAATAAAATCACTGACATTTACCATATAGAAACATCATTTATCAGCCATTTTCTTCTGCAAGATACTACTCTTTCCACTACTCTCAATATCTACCCTGTTTAATGGTAAACTCAATTTTCTCTATATTATTTTTCTATAATCACTGACATTTACCATATAGAAACATCATTTATCAGCCATTTCTTTCTGCTAGATACTACTCTTAATATCTACTGTGTTTAATGGTAAAGGTATCTTCATTTTCGAAAAAACAAAGCTGGAACTCTAGAATTTTATCTTTAAAACAAATAAAGAAAGAGCATTTTTTTTTCACTTTATTTTGGTTTTTCTTTAATATGAGTAAGATTCTTAAAATTGATGTGTAGGTGAAAGATTGAAACAACGATTAAAAGGAACATGATTTTGGCAGTTTTATATTTTGAGTCTTGCCTTAATAAATACATAAATATATTTAAACAGAAAAACATAAAGTAGCTCTTGATAGTTAATTTATTTTGGATTTGACTCTAATTTACTTAAGAAACTGCAAGATTAACAAAGCAAACAATCAGAGTAACCTGTTCAATCAAAACCAAAATTTACAAACCTGAGTAAAGTTTATCTTTGCTCTACGTGTAACATATTCTGCATACTTGCATGCAAACATTCCACAGTCACTTCCATTCATCTGGTGAGGAATATCCTTGAAGATAAAAAGAACTTTAAAAGTTGAAAGAAAGAAAAAATAAGAAATTCTAAATATACAACAAACATGCACTGTTGAATGCCTTAAAAGAATGTAACATATGCTAAAGTAAATTCAAATTCTTAATCAGACAAGCATCTTATATGTATGTGGGTTAAACAGCAAGTTCAGCAACTCCTAGAGTTCAGGTGCAACCATTCTTAATTTTTAACTACTAACCAGGTGAAGAATAGCCAACCAGAAGTATCCATTTCCATAAGGGCTTTGTCTGGCTCTTATAACAATAACGGGATTGGTTATCACTTGTATAACTAAAAGTGTACAGTGTTTAACAGTATCACACTGTGTAACTTTGACCTGCGACCCAAAATGCTAACAATGAGACCGTGCTCTGCCCATTGTTGCAGAGAGAACACGTTATAAAATTTGAGTGCAATTACCAAGTTGCACAAAAGATTTTCTCTATTTCAATATTATGCATCAAATTATCATTTCACAAAAGTGGCTTTAGAGTAATAGTTTTAATTTTCAGCTTGCAGTTAATAAATAAAACCCTTTTCAGCACTAGTTATTTTTATTCTAGATGACTTTAGCAAGTAATAATCATAAATGGTTAAACAAGTCACAATCCTATCCAATTTAACAGGTCTGTTATGGGATTTGAATTGTTACTTACTTGATAATCTTATTAATAACTTTAATTTTTTTTTTTAATTTTATGCTTAAAAATAGGGTACTATCAACAGCTTGGAATTGTGTTTAATGCCATACAACATAGTAAGAATGAGGCAGGGAAAGCCAATTAAACTCAATATGAAATTGGAAGTAAGATTTCAAGTCTATTAACAAAAAGTTATTCTAGTGGTAAAATTGTTGTTGAATTTTGAGGATTTATCTAAGTCAATATTATTTGTGACAACAAAAACTATTTGCATGTCAGATGATGCACCAAGCTATTACACATCTCATTTTAAGTATATTCTAACGTTAAATGGTTGTTAGACAAAAGGATTTCTGTTCTTCTGATACCTTGCTATAAACCTTAGCACTAGCTTCATTGAATTTGTGGCTGTTTTATAACAGTATCAGACAGAACTAGCCTCAATTATAATGAGATGTTGGTCCAGTGACCAAATACTTTGAAAATCTATAAGAAAGACTACAAGGCCATATCTGCTAATTCTGTAATTTTTTGTTTTAATGAATTCATAGTTTTCTTTTCCAACTACTACCAGCTTTTACTTTACTCTGGGAGAATCATTAGTGAAAATTAGATTAATTAAACAAAACAGCTCATAATATGAAACACGTCGCATCTTCGTTCTGGTTGTGCAATAATAAATTACAACGTACATTAAAAATGAAACTTTTCTAATCTGCCATTATTTTAGTGACAGTAAATGTCAGTCGAAATACAGTATGTTAATGATAGTATTGTTTCAGACTTATCTGTGCTCATTGAGCAAGAGTAACATTTTCAGCCACTCTTATCCAAGTAAAGCTGTACTGAAGATACATTAATCAAACTGCAGAACAATTTTATTGTCAACCTACAAACATTTCATAAAATATCTCAATTAGTTTTGTAATTATCTATTACATTCCTTAGTTTCAAACTTGAATCTGATTTTGCTTTATATTTAGGTGCCTTGTCGTTCTATTGTAATGCAAACAGGCACGAATGACTATTTCTTATACATGTAATACATATATGATTGATAACAGACGCTATTTAAATACTTGTCTGCACCAAGTCCTTTCTAACAAAACAACTAATAAAAATAAAAAGTGCAATAAAAAAATGATGAATCATCTTTTGAGATTAAATCAGTTTCAAAATATGTAGCAATTGGTCACGTAATGGTAACATGTATGAAACCATCATGAGCATAATAGCAATTTAATAATGTACTATAACATACCTTAACAATCTCTAATGACCAGTCACTCATGTCAAACTCTTTCTTTTTTTTATCCAAACTTTCCTCTTGTAAGTAAGTTCTGTAATATAAAATAAGTTAATTTTTAGGACTAATCTAAGAGATGGTAACATACCACATAAACAAATCAACAAAGGTCTTGTTCTGAATTTTTAACATAGCTACTAAAAAAATGTCATGTTTGGTAGAAAAAAAAGGTTATTCATGCAAAATGCTAACAATTGGGTTTCAATCCCCCCGATAGTCAAAGCACAGATAGCCCATTGTGTAGCTTTCTGCTTAACAACAAAAACACATAATATCAATATTTTGATTACTTGGAATAATCAAAAACAGCAACAACTATAAACACTAAATCTGATTATTTTCACAAGTCGTAACATTAATCAATTCAGCTGAACAAACTTGAATTAATCTAAAACAGTAATGAACAAATTTAAAATGTGTTAATGACACACCTATTCCTCCACTAATGTTATACTCTATGGTTAAACATAGATGATGATGTAGTACCCATCCACAAGATTGGGGTGGATTTTCGATGTACCAGTGAACTATTGACCTTGACATTAAAAGGTTGATCAGGTCTAGAACTTTTTATGTAGTACCTGTTGTACAAGTTTGACCATTATGAATTCATTCTGTATTGAAATATCATATTCACAGGGTTGGGAAGATTTTCTATGAAGCAGTGACACTTTTTCCTTGGCCTCTTATCCATGACTTTCAAAAGTTAATCATGTATGTAGTACCTTTTAAGTATGTTTGGACAAAATCCATCCATCCAATCTTCAGATATCCTGTCCACCAGATTGGAATGGACAGATAAGCAGACCAACATGGGCAACCATTATGCCCCACTTTGTGATGCTTCTCAGTGGGGGCATAAAATTATAATGGCAATGTCTTGATTACTGGATACTAGCTAGTATAAAAAAATAAATCATGGGAAAACACAAAATTTATCAAAAGAGCGTAATAAGACACACAAAAACAATTTAGAACTGCACCATCAAAGAAAACCATTAGGCTTCATAAATGAATATTTATGTACTAGAAATTTCTAAGTCAATATGACAAGGGTACAGAGGGTTATTATACTACTGTGGGATGCCATAGATGCAAGCCATAGTACCATAGGCAAACATATTTTGCACCCATATCTTTTAATTCACAGCAAATTCCTAACTAATCAACACGCAGTGTTGCCATGGGTATATTTAAAACTGGGTGGATATTCATATATGAGACTGTTAAGTGAAACAAAGCCAAAAGACACAGTACTTCAAAGAAACATGTTTTCAGTGTTCTCTGGGGAGTGGACTATTTTGAGTAGCAGAGCATACAGAACAGCAATGGATTCAAAAACCACATCCCTAGCCACTCTGGAGCAACATCCTCATCTGGAAGGTGAATATCATGGTTCCCACTGAGTATCTTTCTAAGCTTCCAACCACATCCTAAAATCAACGGGAGTTTTTATAAAAAAGATTTCCAAAAAAACTGGAATCACAGTAACCATATCCAACCACACACTCTTCAGATACATTCATTTCAGCTTTAATGGATTTTATGCCTGTTTAATTGAATGTGCACATGATCAATCCATTGGATCAAACCTGTATTGGAGAAGGAATGTTGACTATAATTCCAAATGTACTATACGTATCTACATGAAATGTGGTACACTTTAGTAAATGTACAAGTTTGTTGTAAAAAAAAAAAGACAAAAAAAGATGTGTTACAAAACTATTTGTATTCAAGATATGTATGTGAATTAACATCATCATTTTATCTCAGACCCTGATGAATTCGAATGCAAGTTCATATTCATGTAAAAAGATCAAAATAATTTTTTCTATCATACAGCTTGTATGTTGCATCTGCACAAACTGGAGAGCCTTCAAAATACCTATCTACAGTTTTTTCAGTATATTTATATACTGTATTTATTATTTGCTCTCCTCTACTACAAACTATCACTAAATCACAACCTAGGGTAAAATGAAAAGGTAATAACTGACATCAAATATGTATTACCATGTTAAATGGCACTCTGTAAAAGTTTGTGGCATGCACACTTTGATCCCACCCATACATATAGGGTTAAACATGGTCTTGGAAACTGTTGTTCACTTACATGGAGGGTCTGTGGAAATGTCCAACATATAATCTAAATTGAGCATGATATCAAATGGAGGAAGTATTAGGTTATCAAGAAATTAATGTTGTGTTTTGGAACACTTACATTAACCCCCCCCCAATAAACGTACATCATGTATAATAGTTAAACAAACTGCCTAAACATCACATTAGTGTAGTCTATATAATGTGTAAAGTTTAGTATACTAATCCCTTATAGTGATGGCACATGACGAGACACACATTCGGCATGTAATGCTGTTTGAATACAAGAAGGGAAAGAATGCCTCTGTAGCCACAAAGAATATCAAAGAAGTTTATGGAAATGTTTTGAACATTCATAAGTGTCAACAATGGTTCAGGAAATTCCGTTCAGGTGACTTTAGCCTTAAAAATTGTGATGGTAGGGGCCGACATGTTGGAAACGATATTGATGCTCTGAAGATGCTTGTTGAGTCTAACCCAAGGCAACACTCATGAAATGGCCCTGAAATTACATGTCTCTCATGAAACAATAAGTAAATATCTAAGGAATATAGGAAAACTCCACAAAGAAGGTGTTTGGGTACCTCATGAACTCTCCGACGATCATCATTTCCAACGTGACGTTGTTTCGTCTCTTCTGGCATGTAAAATGCACGTGAACCATTTTTGGATAAATTTTCACCGGTGATGAAAAATGGATTCTCTATGTGCATAGTATATCAATAGCTCAGTCCTAGACAAAAGCCACTTCCCACACAAGAACCTGGACTCCATCTGCAGAAAGTGATGCTTTGCATTTGGTGGGATTTCAAAGGAGTAATTCATTTCAAACTCTACTCAATCCACAGCAAACTGTCAATGCAGAGATCTGTAGTCAGTAACTGAAATGTTTAAATCAAGTCCTTCATTAGAAACACCCTTCACTCGTCTATATTTCTGGAAAGGTGTTCTTCTTCTCCACGACAATGCACGTCCACATGTGGCACGTTTGACACAACATAAGATTATGGAGTTGGGTTGGGAAGTTCTCCCCCACCCACCATATTCTCCAGATATGGCACCATCAGATTACCATCTTTTTTGTTAGCTGCAATATCATCTTAACAGGAAAGCGTATGCAAATGTGGAAGATGTTAAAGAGGACATTGACATGTTTTTTGTGTTTTTATTTTTTAAAAGCCAAGTGATTTCTTTAATCAGGGCATTAACAACCTGATTGTAACATGGAAAAGCATCATCGATAAGAATGGAGAATTTAATAAATATTTTGTTTTGATATATAAGTTGTTCGGGTTTTTTTCATCTAAAAAAGAGACATTAATTTCTTGACGACCTAATATAATAAATTGATGTAAATAATGTTTCATATAATTGACACGTTAATA